TAACATCGACAGAACTTCTTTCGAAGCTGTCGGGGAAACCCTGGTCTCAAGCGATTTTGCGGCTGGATCTTGTGCCCCTGAACCCTTAACCCAGTAGAGCCTCTAAACCCTAAACCCTAAACCCTGTAAATGATAAATCCCTTTCATCCTTGCAAGCCCTACAAGCCGATAGACCCCCTAAAGCCCCAGAAGCTCTATAAGCCCCTATAAGCCCCATAAACCCTGTAAGCCAATTAAACCCTGTAAAGCCTAGAAACCTTATGAAACCCCGGGGGAAACCCTCTAAACCCAATAAACCCTATAAAACCTCATAAACCCTAAACCCCAAACCCCAAACCCTAAACCCTAAACCCTAAACCCTAAACCCTAAACCCTAAACCCTAAACCCTAAACCCTAAACCCTAAACCCTACCTCATAAACCCTAAAAATGCTCCTGCAGGTGCATCAAACCTCCAGTCTCCGGTGTTTTTGTCTGTAAGGGGCTCTGTTCGTATGGGTTTAGGGTTTCGGGTTGGGATGTTCCCCCTTATACTAGCAGTCCTCAATAGGGATTGTAATGGGGGGGGGGGGAACCCTAAACCCTAAACCCTAAACCCTAAACCCTAAACCCTAAACCCTAAACCCTAAACCCTAAACCCTAAACCCTAAACCCTAAACCCTAAACCCTAAACCCTAAACCCACCCTAAACCCTATTTCGGACTGTTAGTACAAGGGGGGACATCCCGAGGTTAGGGTATCTAGTCGGCGCTGTCTACACCATGGTGTGTTTGTTATTGTTGGTCTTGGGCAGTTGCTGCTTTACTACTTTGCACGGACCCTACAAGTCGTGGGCGCAGAATGACAGGAAACCCAGTAGCCACGGGAGCCGCCCCACCTTAAACTCCACCCAACCCTAAACTACACCCTAAACCCTCAACCCTAAACCCCAAACTACACCCTAAACCCTACATTCTGAACCCTAAACCCTAAACCCTAAACCCTAAACCTAAACCCTAAACCCTAAACCCTAAACCCTAAACCCTTTCATTGAGGCGCGGCTGCCTGGACTTCTGGTGGGCACATGTGAAGAGGCAGAAGAAAGTTGCACCAATCCAGAAGACATGACTGCTATTTGCTTAAGGGTTTGGGATTTAGGGTTTAGGGTGCTATTTGCTTAAGAACCTGCTTTGGGTAGAACATTTTTGACTTTTTGGGGTCTTCTTAAGCAAATAGTAGATGACACGCCGGCGCAGCCGTGGGTACACGTGTCAGGCGTTTGAGGGCCCCGGGCCCAAGGCCGACCTAAATCAATGCAAAGGTCCCTAACCTCCACACCGTCCTCAAACCCCACCTGTAACCCCAGTATCGGATGTAGCCCTAAACCCTAAACCCTAAACCCTAAACCCTAAACCCTAAACCCTAAACCCTAAACCCACTAGTTGGAATGAGTCGATTTCCTAAGCTCAACTGGCTCCTGAGATCTCCTTGAGTAGGTTCGGGCATGTGGACCGCAGGAACCTCCGACGTTGAACCACCGAACCCTAAACCCTAAATCCTAAACCCTAAGCCCTAAACCCTAAACAAAACCCTAAACCCTAAATCCTAAGCCCTAAACCCTAAACCGGGGGTCTGGGGCCCACTGGGGTCCTCAATCTCCCTCCGTCCTCCGTCAGTCCCGTCAACGCGCGCCCACTGGGATGGCGGTTCAGTTCCGGACGTAAAGTTAGAGTGTGAAGGTTTAGGGTTCAGGGTTCAGGGTTCAGGGTTTAGGGTTTAGGGTTTAGGGTTTAGGGTTTAGGGTTTAGGGTTTAGGGTTTAGGGTTTAGGGTTTAGGGTTTAGGGTTTAGAGACGACTTGTGTACATCCAGCATGTGCGCTTAAACACAAAACCTTGATATCCCTAAACTCAAACCCTAAAGTCCGAAAACCCTGAAACCCTAACCCCAAAACCCCTAAGCCCAAGCCCTAAACCCTGAACCCTAAATCCTAAACCCACCCCACCCACCCACCCGGCCACCCACCCCACAACCAAACGGGGGAAGGGAGGGATCCCTTATCTTGGAGAGGGGAAAGGGGGGGGGGGGGGGGGGACTGGGCAACACCTTAAACAAACAGACAAATATAGATATCTATCTATCTATCTCTATATATATATATATATGGGTACTTGTATATATACATATGTGTATATACATAGATATATATATATATATAAATGAATGTATGTATATATATATATATATATATACATATACATATATGTACATATATATATATGTATATACATTGTTCTGCAAGTGTGTAACTGGCCCCAAAATGGGGTTGGCTAGAGGTGAGGATGTTGGTGCTTTCTGGGGTTCAGGCGTTTTGGGGCAGAGCTAGAAACCTGCAGGGAAAGAGGCATAATGGAGCTTAAGGTTTAGGTTTTAGGTTTAGGGTTTAGGGTTTAGGTTTAGGGTTTAGGGTTTTAGGGTTGAGGTAGGGCAGAAGTGCTTTCCCGGAGTTGTCAAGCGTTCCCTAAACCCTAAACCCCAAACACTATCCTTAAACCCTACACCCTACACCCTAATCCCCAAATGCCGCCTCTCAGTCGGGTTGAAACTTTTAGCCTTCGCACGTTCAGCGAAGCTGACGCAGGGCGATGGCGGCACACTGCTAGACTTTATATAGGGTTTAGGGTTTAGCAATAGTTACTCGCGGTATGCCCGTATGGCCCGCCCCCCCCCGCCCCCAAAAAAAAAAAAACAAAAACAAAAAAACAAAAAAAAAGTATGTGTAATAACCCCCGAAAGCCTGTTCTATTTATGAAGGCGCCTGTCGTAGGGCTGCGTAGGGTTTAGGGTTTCTAGGGCTTTGTGGTGTTAGGGAGGCTCTTGGGCTCAGGATTGAGAGGGGAGTCTAGGGGCGTGGAGGGTTCCCTAAGCCCGAAGCCTTCAAGTTAACATACATGTTGAGCCCTAAACCCTAAACCCTAAACCCTAAACCCTAAACCCTAAACCCTCAAAGGATGGTGATGTTGCTTGAGCCTTGGCAGACACTGGCGAAATTTCGCCAGTTCGCCCTCAGCGATTCCTGCAGTGAACTGCTCGCACCAGGGGCCGTCGCTTCTCAGGGACCCCTAATTTTGACCCCCAAATAGTAGTATTCCCTTGTGAAAGGGACCCCAACAATTAAGGTGCCCCTAGTTTCGGAAACCCCCACATAGTCTCGCGTAAGCCCACAATTGGGTTTAGGGTTTAGACTTTAGGGTCTAGGGTTGACCGTTTAGGTTTAACACCCAAAGCCCTAGACTCTCAGTTCCTTAGCACTCATGCGTTCGGGGCATTCTTGAAACCCCTAACTCGTAAACCCAAAACCCTGAACCCTCAGCCCTAAACCCTAAACCCCAAACCCTAAGCCCTAAACCCCAAACCCTAAACCCTTAAACATCCTAGTGTTAGGTGGGCACAGGGTTTAGGGTTTAGGGTTTGTTATTGTTTCAGGACATCGGCGTTTAGGGTTTTCCGTTTGGGGCTTTTGGGGTTTAGCGGTTTTGGAACCCGCGTGAGATCAACAACTCTTTCATCAAGTCCTCCCACTTACAGTGCCTTCTTTGGGATCCTACTGCTCGAGAGGGGGCATTCTGCAACCCCACTCAGACGCTAAACCCTAAACCCTAAACCCTAAACCCTAAACCCTAAACCCTAAACCCTAAACCCTAAACTAAAAAACCCTGGTCCCGGAGCCCCAAACCCCTTAGGCTTTGGACTTCTGCTTCGACTGTGGAGACACTTCCTCAACCCCAAAACGTAATCTCATTCCTTCAAGGTTTAGGGTTTAGGGTTTAGGGTTTAGGGTTTAGGGTTTAGGGTATAGGTTTGAGAACTCTCAGAGGTCTACGGGGTTTAGGGCTTACGTAGGTTGCCTCCTAGGGACATAAAGGCTTGCAGTGTTTAGGGCTTGGGGTATTTCCACCCTCTTCCCTAAACCTAAGCCCTTAACTAAACCCTGACCGAAACCTTACACCAGCGTAGTTCAAGCTTCGAGCGACGCGAAGACAACCCCTGGATTTTCCTAATCCTGGCCGTTACCGTCGAATGGCCGCCGAAGGCGGCCCAAACTTTCGCATCGCAGCGACTGCAAACGGAGGGTTTCGGATCCCAAACCCTGAACGCTACAAGCTTATAAACCCTAAACCCTAAACCCTAGAACCTTGTAAACCCGAAAAGATTTACGCCTGTAAGGTTTCGAGGACGATTGTAGGGCTTCGAGGTGTAGTTGACGTTGGGCTTTGGGGTTTATATGGCTCTTCGCGGCTAGCCCTGAACCCTAACCCCTAAACCCTAAACCTAAACCCTAAACCCTAAATCCTAAACCCTAGACCCCAGAATTTAGGCCGGGGCCAAGATGTTTTTGACGGTTCACGCACTGATCAAGTGCGTGATAGTGTGCAGAAGCTGTTTAGGGTTCAGTTTAGGGTTTAGGGTTTAGGGTTTTGGGTTTAGGGTTTAGGGTTCAGGGTTCAGGGTTCTACTGGAGTACTGCAAGGGTTCCCCTTATGGCTACCTTGTGCAATCGAGTTCCTTAACTAGCAAACAGACCCCCCAAAAGGCCCCAAACCCCTCCTCCCTAAGCTCCATTTTCGAGTGTAGCGCCGGTTTAGGGTACCCTAAAATCCTTAACCGTGCAAATCCAAGCTCTAAACCCTACACTCGTGAGGCTTTATAGGGGATGGTCCTGCCTAAACCCTAAACCCTAAACCCTAAACCCTAAACCCTAAACCCTAAACCCTAAACCCTAAACCCTAAACCCGGTTAAAAAAAGCTCTGTGGCAGCCCGCTACACCAGTAAATCCCCAAGCCCCAAATCCCGAAATCCCTCAATGCGCCAGCAGGCTCAAATCCTTGGGTTTGGTGGGTTTTGGGCGGCTTTCGGGTTTTCCCTAAACCCTAAACCCTAAACCCTAAACCCTAAACCCTAAACCCTAATTAGGGTTCAAGCCTTCGTCTTTGTGTGACTGAGTGGATAGTCTCGGTGGAGGTCAACGACGTGGCCTTCTTGAAAAGGGCCTGCGAGCAAGTTCGCAACAGCAGGCGCCACGCCCAGAGCGAAACCCATCCTGAACCCTGGTAGACCTAAAGAAGCTGGTTTAGGGTTTAGGGTCTAGGGTTTAGGGTTTAGGGTTTAGGGTTTAGGGTTTAGGGTTTAGGGTTTAGGGTTTAGGGTTGCATAGAACACCCCGTAAACTCCTGAAACCTTATTCCCCCAAGCCAAGCCAGAGGCAGTACCGACCTGGTGGAAACAAGTAGCCGTTTCATCGTTGAACCCCAAACCCCCAATTGCAAGATAGTGAGTTCCAGGCCCAGCCGTGCCCTGCAGGGAGGGGGGGGGGGGGATAACCCACTTTAGGATGTAGGTCTGATTTGCAGAGTTTAGGGTACTGACTGCAACCACAGAACCCAGGAGCCTGTACCCGGATGCACCCAAGGTTTGTTTTGGGCACCCGTTGTATTTCCCATATTTCCCATAAAAATCGGGGTACCCCTGCTACTATAATCCCCCCCCACATGCAAAATACGTGAGCCCTCAGTATTGCAACCCAGCCCCTATCCTCACAAAATCGACCATCCCTGTAAGGAAAGAGGGTTTAGGGTTTAGGGTTTAGAGTTTAGGGTTGCCTAGGTATTTCATTGGTTTCGAGTTCCCGAGGCATTCCTTGATGTAGAGGTTTGGGGTCTTCTGAGTACGGCTTGGTCAGATTGCGGGGCTTTACGGTCGGTCCTGCCTGCCGGCCCTTTCCCTCCTGAGGGTTTGGGATTTAGGGTTCATAGCACGGCAGCCATGTATCTTCAGCCGGCGGTAAGCCCCCAAAAGGGACCGAGAATTTAGGGAGCCGCCCAAAGCAAACATCGAGCCGGCCTCTCAGGGATTCTCCGAAAAGCCGTAAGCCCTGAACCCTGAAGCCCTATACACGAAACCCTAAACCCTAAACCCTAAACCCTAAACCCTAAACCCTAAACCCTAAACCCTAAACCCTAAACCCTAAACCCTAAACCCTAAACCCTAAACCCTAAACCCTAAACCCTAAACCCTAAACCCTAAACCCTAAACCCTAAACCCTAAACCCTAAACCGAAACCCTAAGAACCCTGAAGCCTGAAGCCTGGAACTCGAAACCCTGGTGAATGACAGGGGCCCTTGCCCTTCCCCACACCAGCTGTTCCAATGTTGCCACTTGTGTCGTTCTCCAAACGAGGTTCCCTTTTTTGAGTCTCGATATACTGCGGCAACCCGTTAAACCCTAAACTTAAACCCTGAACCCTAAACCCTAAACCCTAAACCCTAAACCCTAAACCCTGAACCCTCTATCTCAGAGGGCTACCCACTTCTTGTGACGGGGGACGTTAGGCGCTTCCTCAAGTGGACCTACGCCTATGGCTGCTCGGCCAGCATTCCTTCTGGGCGGCTTCGGGTTTAGGGTTCAGGGTTCAGGGTTCAGGGTTCAGGGTTCAGGGTTCAGGGTTCAGGGTTCAGGGTTTAGGGTTTAGGGTTTAGGGTTTAGGGTTTAGGGTTTAGGGTTTAGGGTTGGGGTTGAGGGTTTGGGGAGGGAGCTCCTCCCCCCTTTGAACTTTACTGGAGCCCAAAACCCTCATGTCAAAACCCTCATGGCCTTGACATATGCGCCCACGTTCCGCGTAATCGACCCCCCCACCCCCCGAGACGACGCGAACGAGTGTCCCCCCTTTCTGGTATCCCGCCCCCCCAAACCCTGCCCGTAAACCCTAAAAACACCATGTTTGCTGGTGATCTGCAAGCACGGGTGAGCGTCCCATGTCTTCTGTCTTCTGTTTCCGTGCTGGAGTCTCCCCAGAATCTGAGCAACCACCAAACTCCTGAAGGAATTAATGCCTTCGATGATACATAGAATCCGCAGTACGAGTTAGGAGCATTCCTGAATCACCGGGGGGGGGGGGGGGTTGGGAATCTCCATGAAAAGTCACTGCAGTTTGGGGGTTCAGGGTTCAGGGTTTAGGGTTTAGGGTTCAGGGTTCAGGGTTTAGGGTTTAGGGTTTCGGGTTTAGGGCAGGTTGGGAGGGTTTGGATATTTGAGGGTTCGGGTTTGGGAGTTAGGGGCCCAGGGCTTTGACCGAAGCCCTAAAACCCTAAAGGCTTGAACCCCTAAAACCTTAAAACCCTAAACCTTAGAACTCCTAACACCTTAAAACCCTTAAACCCGACAACCCTAAAACCCCAAAACCTTAAAACCCTAAAACCCGCAAACCACAAACATTGGTACCTTAAAACTGAAAACCGAAGGGCTAAACCCACCCCAGCCAAGGCTTCTTCGCCACCTACGCCGGGGACCAGCGGAAGCTCTTCGAGTTCCACCAGGTCGGGCTAATAGGGCTTCGGGTTGGGATGCTCCCCCTTATACTAAGGGGGATTATCGTACCCGAAACCCGAAACCCTAAACCCTAAACCCTAAACCCTAAACCCCATGGTATAATCCCTACTAAGGACTGGTCCGTAGAAAGGGGGAACATCCCGAGTCTGGGGTGTATCCCAGAGGCTGCAAGGTAGTTTGGGTGGTATCTCGGATCCTCATCGCCTAAGCACCCAGAACCCCAAACCCTAAACCCTAAACCCTGAACCCTGAACCCTGAACCCTAAACCCTAAGAAGCCCTAAACCCACCCTAAACCTCAAACCCTAAACCCTAAACTCCCAAATCTCTCAGTGGGCTGAATGCCCTGAACATGTCTTCAAAGAGCGAATGCCAGCAAGAACAACACCTGGGGCCACACAGGGTAGGGTTTAGGGGTTCAGGGTTTAGGAGTTTAGGGTTTCGGGATGTAGGGGTTTAGGGTTTATGAGTTTAGGGTTTATTGGTTTAGGGGTTTAGGGGTTCAGGGGTTTGGGGGTGCAGGGGTTTGGGGGTACAGGGGTTTAGGGATTTGGGCTTTTGGATTTAGTTCTTGTTTCTTTTTGGGTTTTGGGGTGAAGCATGGCGGCCCCAAAAAGGACTGCTTTGGGGAACCCTAAACCCTAAACCCTAATACAAGGCTGTTGTGAAGGAAAAGTTAGGGTTAAGGGCTTTGTGCTCCCCCCCTTAAGGACCCTGTACGTACTACTTCCCCGCCTGAAGCGGGCCCCTATATAGCAAAATCCTGTTCTTCCCCCCCCCCCCCCCCCCCTTACCGCCCATACAACGCCCATCCTAAACCCTTTCGACCCTAAACCCCAAACCCTAAACCCCAAACCCGAAACCCTAAACCCGAAACCCTAGACCTCTCCCTCAGGCGCAGCTGGAAGGCACCCTGGAGCGGCTGAGCGACATCTTGGACCCCGGAATTCTGATCTGGGGGTTTGGGGTTTGGGGTTTAGGGTTTAGGGTTTAGGGTTTAGGATTTGCGAAAGTAGGGCTTAGGGTGTAGGGTGGCCCCCAAATAGTAGGATTCCAGTACAATAAGGACCCCTAGTCAGGTCCCCCAAACTTCGGAAACCCCGAAGCTTAGGGTTAAAGGCTTAGGGTTCGGGGTTTGGGGGTGTCAACCCTTATGCCCTAAACAACAAAGAGCGCAAAACCTCAAAACCCCAACTGTCCAAAGAAACCTGAACCCTAAGCCCTCACTACCAACAGAGCCTAGTCCCTAACTACCACAAGACCCCAATCCCTAAACCCTAAACCCTAAACCCTAAACCCTAAACCCTAAACCCTAAATCCTTGAGGCCTTCAAGGGTTCGTTGGTCTCCCGTGTGGTCACTAGGAGAACGCAGCTGTCTTGCACCAACAAGGTACTTACTTGGGTTTAGGGTTTAGGGTTTAGGGTTTAGGGTTTAGGGTTTAGGGTTTAGGGTTTAGGGTTTAGGGTTTAGGGTTTAGGGTTTAGGGTTTAGGGTTTAGGGTTTAGGGCAGCGACCAGCAACCCGCCAGCTTCCATCCCCCTGGTTTCTAGTAGGGAATGAGGGAATGAGGGCCCTATATCGTCCCTTAAGGGTTTAGGGTTTAGGGTTTAGGGTTTAGGGTTGTCCCTGATTCCCTACTAAGAACCAGCTTTCAGAAGGGTTTTGGGTTTTAGGGTTTTGGGGTTTGGGGTTTAGGGTTTGAGGGCTGGGGTTTAGTACTATTTGCTTAAGAACCTTCCCGTCCCAAAAAAAAGAGTAAGAATACTCTTCCTGTTGATGGCAGTAAAGGGACCTTCTTTTTTTTTTTGGGGGGGGGGGGGGTTCTGAAGCAAATAGCAGTTTAGGGTTCAGACCAATCCCCTGCACACCTAAACCCTAAACCCTAAACCCTAAACCCTAAACCCTAAACCCTAAACCCTAAACTTTAGGGTTCAGATCAATCCCCCACAGGTAGGACATGAGATTTCAAGGCTTCGATGTTCTTGCCGGCTGCCAGCTTGCTTTCCAGCATCCACATCGACATACTTGTGGTTTAAGTTCTCTCGGGTTTAGGGTTAAGGGTTTAGGGTTTAGGGTGCTCAACATTTGGGCAGCAGCTTGCGCCTGCGAATCATGGCGGGGACGGTGTGGGAAGATGGGGCAAAGGTTGAAGCTTAATGTACACCCGAAACCCGAAACCCTAAACCCTAAACCCTAAACCCTGTATTTTATATTCGGACCTCCTTGCCACTTTTGCCTTCATGTATGTTGCACCTATCGCACTCAAGCCCTCTGAGACAAAAAGGTAGAAGTGCGCCTGTGTTTCATGGCTTAACGGATTGCATTGGTGGATTTCCCAAACTATAGGTTATCAGCCGTAGGCTCTACTGAGTCTGCGGCGCCTCTGGTTACTCTGGCAAACACTGGTGTATGGGAGACAGCCCCGAGCTGGTTCCCACCGAAGTGGCAACCGACCTGGAATCTGACGACATGCTTCCTGTGGGACTACCCCAGACTGCTTCTGAGCAAGTTGCTACGAACGGTGCACTGGAAGAGGTCGCAGCAAGCACTAATGTGTTTGAGCCAAACGCCCGAACTCCTTTTGCGGCCGTACCGTTCGCACCACAGTTGCACATGTATCGACAGAATTTCCAGCAAAACATCATGGTCGGTGAATCTCCGGAACAAACCAGATCGCTTCTCGGTGAACTTGAAATTGAAGCAGAAAACAGACACCAGAGGTTCCGCCAGGCTGCCGAATATGCTCATGATCAAAGAATCGCTAATGTTGAAGAACGAGCAAATCGACAGCATGAGGAGATCGTTGCACAGCTCGAATCCGAGATTGCCACACAACGATATCAGTTTATCGAAGCCAATCATCATCTCGTGTCAGAGCTGCGACAACAACACCAAGTCATCGCTTTCCAAACGGAACATTTTTCCAGCGTTAGTTCGCAGATCACGCAACTTCGAACAACTTTAATCGAAGAAGCAGAGGAGAACAAAACACAAACCCTCAATGAGGTGGGAGAGTGGTTTGGTAGGGAACATGACCAAGCAATGCAGCAGTATAGGTTGCTTGCCCGCGAGAGTGAAGAGGAAATGAGGCGTCAAAATGATGTTCTTCAGGACGAACTCTCCTCAGCTGAGCGTGCGCTCAAACTCGAGCAGGACAGGAATGCTTCTCAGGACACTGCGTCCCAAGCTCAGTTCCCTCCGGCCGTGACCCCAGCAACGGTACCGCAAAGTGCCGGCCTCAATGTGCCGACAGCTCCTCAGTTTTCATCGCCAAGCGTGATCCCGCTCAGCCTAAGAGCAATGTTTTTCCGGTTTTGGTGGTGCGGCAACTACTGCCACACCAGCGGGGCCACAAGCTCCAACACAAGCCCCGGGAACCCCTGTGCCCCCGACTGGCTTAGGTGGAGGAGTGTCTGGTCTCGCGGCCCCACTGGGCACGCCGGCTAGTCCGGCAGCCACTGGAGTTGATTTAATCGCACAGACGCAACAAGCGTTGCTGGAAGCCGCCAAACTCCTCAAGGGAGACAAAGGCGGCGAAGATGACAAGCCAAAGGTCAAAGAGGCTGAGAACATCCGTTTGCCGGACTTCCCCAACCCCGAAACGTATCGTGCGTGGAAAACAGCAACTCGGGAAGCGGTTAGGGCAGCCTCAGACAGACCAGACGAAGCTTTCTCTTGGATTTTAGAGGTTTACGCGAAGGATGCTGATCATGACAAGCTCCGTGAACCAGGAAAGTTCCTCACGCTGGATACCAAAATCCTAGCCGCGCTTACCAAGGTCGCCAAGGGAGAGTTATCTCGACAGGTGCTCACCTTCAAGGAAACCGAGGCGGTCCATGGACGTGCGGTACGAGGACGCCAGGTGTTGCTTATGTTTGATCAGTACTTCAAAACCAATGAAGAAGTAGGGTCGCTCTATTCAGTAGAAGACCTTTTGAAGGTTACACTGCATAGTGACGACTTGACTACATTCCTGCACAATTGGGAGTCAGTCATTGCCGGTATGAGTCATGTTCCAGAAGAAATGGTTCTGCGTGACATCCTTCTCCGCCAAATCCGCAAGTCCTCAAGGATGAAATACGACTTGGAGATCTATGATAGGGCCAAGGAAGGTTCTGCCTCACATTCCTACGCGTTCTTGTTGAAGTCCATTCGGGATTTGCTAACCCGTGAAAGGATGCGCAAGAATAGGATAGAATCGCTAAGTCACATGGGGACAAATTTGGAGCTCCTGTTCTTGAAGGCGGAAGGCCGCAACGCCCTCCGTCAAGGAGTGGCCGGGGAAGAGATCGCTCTGCCGGTAGCCAATCCAACTCGAAGTCAAGATCTCGCTCTAGGACCCCGTCCAGGTCTAGATCACCTAGCCGTTCACCAAGCCCAAAGCCAGTTTGCTACGACTTTCAAAAGGGTAAGTGTACCAGGGGCGACAAGTGCAAGTTCTCGCACAAACCACGCTCGCAGTCCCCTGTTCGCACCGCCCCGAAGAAGAAGCAGGTATGCACGTTTTGGAAGAAAGGCAAATGTACCAGGGGAGACAAGTGCCGTTTCTTGCATAGGGAACCGAGCCCCGCTCCCACAGGTGGTGAAAACGCAGCCCCGGCTCCTAAGGACCCAGACAAACCTAGGTCTCCATCGCCTGCGCCAACGCGCAGAAAGCCAAGCCGTGGTCGCTCTAAGGAGAAGGACAGGAGAGCCGCATGCTGCATCTCGATTGCGGCTGCAGCCTCAATCCGTCCCGAGGGAGATGACCCACAAGATGGAGAGAAGGACTACTGGGAAGTGGATTTCAAAAGGGGTGAAGCCATTCGACATCACCTGAACTACAGAAGTACTATGTACAAGCCTGAAATGTCATGCCCTGTTGCTCTTGAAAAGTTGAAAGGTACGGCCAAGGTGATCAAGACTCTTCCCGTTGCTCCCTACACAGCAAAGGAGAGTTGGGATTGGAAAGGGGGAAAAGGGGGGACGAACGACAAGACGCCATGGACTGGCAAGACTGTGTTCAAAATCAAAGAACAAAACAAGAAGGTCAAGTTTTGTGAAAAGCCCAAAGTCAGGGAAATTCCTTTTGAAGGGAAGGGGTACAAGCATTCCTACAAAGTTCGCAGGTACAACACTTGCTATGCCGATGCGGAAAATTGCCCCAAACCTGACTACAATGACCTTCAGGTTGCAATTAGGAACGCAAGGGAACTCACTATGCTCCTTGCCCGGCATGAGGGGGGAGAGAGAACCGACTGCCGTTTAGAATGTGATGAGCCTGATTCTCTCATGTGTGGGATGTGCAAGCACGTCGTTGAGAGCTCAGAGATCGCCTGTCCAGGAATCGCCACGCCCTTAGAATTCCTTGCTGATACGGGGAGCGAGGAGGACCTCATCAGCGAAGCTGATCGTGCTATGTACTTTGGCGAAGAGCCGATAGGCAATGCTACTCGACAAGTAAACCTCATCACTGCTAACGGAAATGTCAAGGGTGACAAATCGGTCAGGATCGACTTCCCGGAGTTTGGCAAAGAGCTAGAGTTCTACGTTCTCGCAAGTACTCCTCCTGTTTGCTCTGTTGGAAGAAGGTGCATGGAGGACGGTTATGAGTTCCATTGGTACCCCAAAAAGCCGCCTTACTTCGTTGCGCCCAATGGTCAGAGACTAAGGTGTAGAATGAGAGGTATGGTACCTGTCCTTGGGGGAGGAGCAATGGCCGCCCCAAGTACCAACGAAGAAGCCTCAGGATCTCTCGGACGGCCAATTCTGTCCGAGGGTTTTCAGAAATCTGCCGCCCAATAGGGCCGGCCGAGGCTTTCGCAGGAGCAGCAGAGGACCGAGATCCAGTGGTCGAGCACCCCGATCCTGAGATCTCAGCAGCCATCAATGAGGTGCCGCCAATAGACATTCCCAAAGAAAAGCTCAAAAGACCAGGTTGGGTTTCGCACCCAAA